TTGGCCATTGATGGGGTTCTGTGCCCTCTATTGGCCATTGATGGGGTCCTGTGCCCTCTATTGGCCATTGATGGGGTCCTGTGCCCTCTATTGGCCATTGATGAGGTTCTATGCCCTCTATTGGCCCACTGATGGGGTTCTGTGCCCTCTATTGGCCCACTGATGGGGTTCTGTGCCCTCTATTGGCTGTTGATGGGGTTCTGTGCCCTCTATTGGCCCACTGATGGGGTTCTGTGCCCTCTATTGGCCATTGATGGGGTTCTGTGCCCTCTATTGGCCATTGATGGGGTTCTGTGCCCTCTATTGGCCCACTGATGGGGTTCTGTGCCCTCTATTGGCCCACTGATGGGGTTCTGTGCCCTCTATTGGCCGTTGATGGGGTTCTGTGCCCTCTATTGGCCCACTGATGGGGATCTGTGCCCTCTATTGGCCATTGATGGGGTTCTGTGCCCTCTATTGGCCCACTGATGGGGTTCTGTGCCCTCTATTGGCCATCGATACAGGTCTGTGATGGGGTTCTCTGCCCTCTATCAGCCCATGCACCATTGGAGCACCTCCTTCCTCAACCCAACCCAAACAGAATCCATTGAAATTTTCCCCATTAAAAAAAGAAAAAAAACAAAACAAAACAACAAAACCCAGCCCAAACCCACATATTTCTCCCCATTTCAAGGTACCCCACGCTCTGGGGCAGCTCACCATCACGGGACATGCCCAGTGCCAAGCATTTCTGCAGGCGGCAGTGCTGGCAGCGGTTGCGGTTGGTGCGGTCGATCAGGCAGTTCCTCTGCCGTGAGCAGGAATAGCTGGCATTGTTCTGCTGGCTCCGCCGGAAAAAACCCTACAAGGGATGGCAGTGGGGTTGGGAAGGGGCCCCGTGGGATGGCAGCACCCAGGCGGCCCCGCGCTGCGCTCACCTTGCAGCCTTCGCAGGTGATGACGCCGTAGTGGATCCCCGAGGATTTGTCCCCGCAGATCTTGCAGGGGATCACCTCGATTTGGGCTGTGGCAAAAGGGGAAAAATGCAGCGTGAGGGAAACGAGGAGACCGCCTGAACCCGGCAACGGATGGGGAAACTGAGGCACGGCCGTGCTGCCCAACAGCTGCACTGCCCACAGCTCAGCCCTCGCTGCCTCATCTATGGGAGCGCTATGCCAGGACCCCAAAAGGCCGCTGTGGGGCACAGGAATTGAGCAGAAAAACCCTTGCAAGATGTTTTTAGCATGGCGCATCCACGCACCCGCCCCCCACCGTGCAGTTTTGGGATGGTGCCCCTCATTTTTCGCTTGCTTATGGGGCTGGGAGCACTGCGGACCCCATGCACGGGGTGAGCCCTCATCCCTGCCCCCACCCCACGGCCGGTGCCCCCCACCCGCCCCCCCCCCAGCCCCAATATAGCAATGCTCAGCTCAAGGTCCCCCAGCAAATCCGCTTCCCTCCCGCTTCTGCTTCGCTGGCACTGAGCTGCTAATAGGCTTCGTCCTCGTGTTCCAGCTGCCCCAGATCCGGCCCACTGCTGTCCCCCCCACCCCCCATAGCACTGGTACGTGCCTCCCAGCATCGCTGCACTGCTAATCCCCCCCTTCCCCCCAGGGGTTCTGTGCAGCCGCCGCCGCGCCAAAATAAACCCTGCGGCCAGATTATGGGCACTGAAAATCCCCACGGTCTGTGCAAATCCCCGGTGTGGGTAAAGTCCCTGCTGCCTTCCCCTGCCCTCCCAGGCATCATCCCAGGGGTCCTATGCAAGGTTTGGGATGGGGTTCTGTACCCTCTATTGGCCCATCGCAAACCCAACTCAGTGGGCACAGAAGCCCATCCTGAACTGCCATCTAAGGGCCAAGAAACAGCAGCTGGGGGATCAAGGTGGGGTGCTGTGCCCTCCGTTGGCCCATTGATGGGTTCTGAGCCCTTTATCAGCCCACTGTTGGGGTTCTCTGCCCCCTTTTGACCCACTGTTGGGGTTCTGAGCCCTCCGTTGGCCCACTGATGGGGTTCTGTGCAATCCACTGGCCCACTGATGGGGGTTCAGGATGGGCTTCTGTGCCCCTTATCAGCCCGTCACAAATCCATCTCAATGGACACAACCCCATTCTGAAACCCCAGCAATGGGCCAAGAAGCAGCGGTTGGGGGATCAAGATGGGGTGCTGTGCCCTCTATTGGCCCACATATGGGTTTCTGAGCCTTCTATTGGCCCAGTGTTGGGTTCTGTGCCCCCTGTTGGCCCATATACTAGGCTCTGTGCCCTCTGTTGACCCTCTGATGAGGTTCTGTGCACTCCACTGGCCCACTGATGGAGGTTCAGGATGGGGTTATGTGCCCTCTGTTGGCCCATCACAAAGCCAACTCAGTGGGCACTGAACCCCCATCACCAGGCCAAGAAACAGTGGCTGGGGGATCAGCAGATCCTTCTATTGACTCACTGATTGGGTTCTGTGCTCTCTACTGACCCACTGATGGGGGTTTGGGATGGAGCTCTGTGCCCCCTACTGGCCCACCGAGTTGGGTTTATGATGGGCCGATAGAGGGCACAGAGCCCCGTCCCGAACCGCCATCAGTGGGCCAACAAGCAGCAGCTGGGGATTGAGATGGAGCGTTGTGCCCTGCACTGACCCACTGATGTGGCTTTGGGGTGGGGTCCTGTGCCCCCTGTTGCCCCACGGATGGGGTTTCAAGCCCTCCATCCACCACCCTTCAGTCCCCATTGCAGCCACACAGCATCACCCACTTCAGCCGACACGCCGTGATGGCAGCTGCCGCTCAGCCATTCCGAGACAACCCCAAATCCCCCTCCTGCTGCAGGATGCGCCCCAAACCCACACAAAACACAGGGACCCCATCCCACCCCATCGGCGTCACTGGGGGGGATGGAGGCGGTGCCACCCCCGGCAGGAAACGGGCTTTGTTATGCAAGGTTAATTGCAGCCGCCGGGTGATGCATCCTCCGCCCGCAGCCGATACCCAGCCTGGTGATTGCAGCACCGGGGAAGCTCGCTCCAATCCCTACCAAATCCTGACCCCGAGAGCTGAGAAATGCCCCCTCCTCACAACCCAGCACCTTTTGGGGGGGGTCCGTAGGGGCTGAGATGCTCCGAAGCCCAGCAGCGCCTCCTGACCCCACATCTCCCAACCTGCCCCACAGGAGAAACCAAAGCGATCGATCGGGAGCCACTCCGAGCTCTTAATTGGGAATGCTGCTAATTACAGTGCCAGCACCTGACCCGTAGCTGAGACGTCAGCCCCAAATAACTGACGTGGGGGTGCAGCCGTAACCGCGGCGTGGTGGCAATTAAGTGTCAGAACAGCTTTTAATTGCTGCTCTGTTTGTAACCCTGTCTGAATCACCGCTGCCCGCCTCCCTCGTGCCTCAGTTTCCCCATTAGGGCAGTGCCAGTCCCAGCACCGTATGAGCACCGGATCGGTGCGGAAAAGGCTTTTTGTAGTGGGGGAAGAAACAAACTCTTCACCTCCCCAGGAAGCAAAACTGTGCTAAAGAAGAGGCAAAAAAGAAAAATGAAGGAGGAAGAAAAAGAAAAACAGGGTTAAAACGAGCGATCCCCATCCCGCAATTAAATTGTCCCGGCGCAATGTTTGCTCTCCTCCCACTGTAAATATTCATTGCCCAATTCCGGGCCCGCTGCCACTGCTGCCCATTATGTAAGGGCACCGGCCGGCTCGGCTGCGTGGTGGCAATCGGCCCCACGTCCGTCTGTCCGTCCGCCGAGCCCACGCCGTCCTCCTGTCCCACTGACACACTTTCTGTTCTGCACTCTTGTGTAACGCCGCGGCCGCTGCCCCCTCTGTGTGGTGGGCTCTGCTGTGTCCCCACGGTGCTGCCAGCATTCACTACGGGGACTTTGGGGACCCCCGATGTGTGGCCACAGTGGGTCTGTGCGCCCTGCCGCGGCACGGGGACCCCCGTCACAGAGACCCCCACCCCTTGTCTGTATTTCCCCGCTGTGGGCTCAGGAGGGGCACATGGGGATGTGGGGACCCCCGGAGCAACGCATCCCCCCCATCCCCATTGCGTCCCCACTGCTGCCCCCGGGCCAGGAGAGCTGAGCTCCCTCCCTAATTACCCATGATTGCATTTCGGGATGGCAGCCTCCGGCGAGAGCGGAGGGAAAAATAAATAAAAGGCACTTATTGCTGGCACAAACAGAGCACGAGGCTGCAACCCCCCCAAAAAAAACCAACCAACCCTATAAATGCGTGCTGTGGGTAACCCAGCATGGGACTGGGAGCTGTGCAAAGTGCGGGGTCGCCGGCACAGGCAGATCCACTCCATCGGGGTGTTACATAAAGCGGGGTTGGGGGTGATGCTGCGGGGTCCTGAGGGATGCTATGAGGTTTCCTGGGAGGTGATGGGGTCCCGCATGGGGCCAGGTTGCATTTTGGGGTGTGCACAGTGCTGTGGTGGCAGTCGGTTTGGTGCTGAGTGCCCGGCCCTGCAGTGCAGCACTTTGCACTTTGGAGCTGCGGGCAGCGGCACGTGAGGGCACAGGGTGGGGGTAATGGGGCTGGGGTGAAAATAACGGGGCTGGGGAGGGGGGCAATGGAGGTGGGGAATGGGGAAATGGGGCTGGGGAGGGCAGAAGGGGGTAATGGGTCAGAGGTGGAAGTAATGAGGCAGGGGAGAAAGGGGGCAATGGGGCAGGGGAAGGCCCCCTGCAGCCCCACAGCCAAGCGGGGGGGTTTAATGCTGTAGGGTTAAATAAAGGCACTCTCAATAAACAGGGTGAGATTTACATCCCAGCAGCTCTCAGAGCAGCCCACTGCAGCGATGCTGTGGCGTCACCCCGCTGCCTCACAGACCCTTCCTGCTGTACCAGGCTCCCCCCACCCCCAGCCCGCTGAGGGGCTCCAGGGACCCCCATCCCCTCCACTGCTCCGTTTGCTGCACTGTTTCAATGGGGTCCTGGGGATGAAACCACGCGTGCTGCACGACCCCACTGCACAAATGAAGACCGCGGTGCTGCTCACCCCATCCCCAAAGGATCCCAGCCCTGCAGGACGCTGCCCAGCCACCATCCCCCTCCAGACAGCATCACCCCAACCCCATCGCACCCCACTGGACGCCACCATCCTTCGCCTATACTTTGTTTTTGGCTGAGAGCAGGGCTGTCACCCCGATCCCATCACACCCATTGGGTACCGCTGCCTTTCACCCACCCCGTGTTTTCAGGTGACATCGGGCACCGTCAGCCCATCACACCAGACCCCGTTGGGTCCCACCGTCCCTCACCCCCACCACCTTTTCAGGTGACGATGGGCTCCCTCACCCCCAACCCCACGGCACCGGGCCCCATCGGGTGCCGCCGTCCTTTGCCCATGCGGGCACGCACTGCCGGGCGGGCAGGGAGGCTCCTCCTCCGCCCTCACTGATTTCCCAATGACAGATCTGGGTCACTGGGACAACTCGGAGAGGCGGCCGAGCCCCGCACGCTCCCAGCCACGCCGTTTGCAAAAACAAGAGCTGAAAACCCTATAGGATTATACGAGGGGAAAGATCCGGCGAGGGAAGAGTGGAGGAGCTGTCGGGAACGGGGTAGAACGGCGATTTCGGGGGGAGGAAACGGAGATTGAGTCCATCGGTACGAATCCGAGGGGATCCCGATGGGGAAAAAAACTCTCAGTGGGGAGAATGGGGGGAGCGGGGTTGGCGTTTAATGAGGGCTTTTTAATGGGGGGGGGGGGGGAGGACGGGCGAAAGGAATAAAACGCAATGAAAGAAAGGAAAAAGTTGAACCCCGCTGTTAATGACCCCCGCGCCGGCGCTGCGGTTAATGAGGCGGGAGCGCTAATGAAGGTGAGGTCGCGGGGGATCGCCCGTCCCGTTACGCAGAAGGGAAAGGAGCGCAGGAACGGGGCCGCTCATAGGAGCGGTTCCACGGGGACAAATCAGTGCGCGAGGAAACCGCGGAGACCCCCGATCCCGGCCCGGTATCTGCGCCTTACGGCCGCCCCGATGCCATCGCCGACCCCCGGCTGTTCCCGTGGCCGCCTGGCAGCGGAGCGGCATATTGCCGGCAGATTAACGGGCTTTGCTGCGGGGAGAGCTTAAGGGCAGCTCAGTGCCGCCGTCGGGCAAAACAAGCACGAACCGAACTGCGGAGCGGTGCCGTCCCCACATCCGCACATCCATCCCCGCATCCATCCCCGCATCCCCCCGCCCCGCACCCCGTTCGTTCCCCCGCTCCCCGATGCTCCAACACCGCCTTCCCCCGACGTGTTCCTCCCTGGGACCCCCGGTTCTCCTGTTTACCCCCCTTCCCCGTTCTCACCTCGCATCGTTCCGGCGGCGCTCAGTGCGGTGCCGGGCGGCTCATGTGGCACCGGGCGGCACCGGGCGGCTCCGCACCTCCACCCGCCCCTCCGCACCGCTGACCCACTTCTGCCCGAACATGCGGCCGTTCACATGACGAACCCGCGCGGCTCCGCCCCGACAAATCGGTTTCGCCCCAAGCTCCGCCCGTCTCCCTTCCTCCTCCTCCTCCTCCTCCTCCTCCTCTCCCTCCCGCCGTGCGCTGCTCGGAGCCGCGCGTCGGGCGCTGCATGTTGGGCACTGCATGTTTGGAGCTGCACACTGAGCGCTGCACATTGGGGGCTGCACACTGGGAGCCGCACGCTGAGCACTGCACGTCAGGCACTGAGCTCTGCTGCCCATAGGAGGGCCGTCCCATCGCGACTCGCCCAGGCACGGGGACAGGAGCGTGTCCTGCTGAGTCACAGCACCTTCACCCCATTCCCTGCGCGGCCCCATTCAACACAGGGATGCATCTCCAGGCAGCTGGCAGAGCCTCAGCCCCGAAAGGGAATGGCTGAACCATAGCCCCACATGGGGACAGCAATGAGCACAGGAAAGGGAGAACCCTGATCCCAAACAGGGACAATGACAGGGTCAGAAACAGGGGGAACCCTGGCCCCAAATGGGGACATTGATGGGGACACGGAGATGGTGGTACCTGGAACCCGAATGGCGACAGTGTTGGGGACAGGGCTGGGCCTCCCCACAGCTGCCTCAGTTTCCCCCTGCTGGGCAGTGGCCAGCTCTCCCCCAGGCTGAGCACACAGCACAGGGACGAAGCTGCCCACCCCATAGCATCCCATGCCCCCACCCCACACCTCTCCCTTTGCATAAGGTGCTGTGGGGCGCTGACTCACACAGGGAACGTGCCCAGCACCGTCAGGATGTGGCCCACTCCAAAACTGAGCCGTGGGGAGATGAAGGGGCACAGCAGTGCCCACGGGGTCGGCATTGCAGCAGGGCTGGGTCAGCTCGGTGTGGGTCTTCATGTGGGGCTGAGCCCCAGGGCCGTGGTGAGGGCTGTGGGTGCAGGGGGGGGATGTCAGCTCTGCTCTCATGGGTGCGGCACAAGGAGAGCAAACAGGGATTAGGGATTTGGGTGGTGTCATCCCGAATTCCTGCATGCCAGGGGGAGGTTTGGGGCAGAGCCCAGAGGAGGAGACACCACTTTGGGTGCTGCTGTCATCATACCCGTGTGCGCCTGCTGCTCCATAGGGGGGTCCAGCACTGCCCTCCCCAGGGCATGGGGAAGGGGGGAAAGAGGTGCTGGGGAGCTTTGGTGCCCTTCAGCACTGCAGTGCTGGGGCAAAGGGAGGGGACAGCTGCTCCCATTGGGAACAAAGTGAGCTGTGAGCCCAGGTGAGGTTTGGCCAAGGCCAGGAGTTGGTCATCGGGTTGTTTAAAGTCTGCCAAATCCAGAGGGCATCTGCAGGGTCCTGGGGTGAAATGGGTAACGTGGGTCCCACCCTGCACCAGGGGAGCAGCATCCCTCAGCCTGGCCGGGATGGACACAGCACAACCAGGGGGGACACGGCACATCAGATGGGTCATGGCACATCCAGGAGGGGCACAGCACAGCCTCTGCCCCCAGCAGTGCCCACTCCAACTCGGATCCCAGGGCTGAAGGTGCTGCGTGGCTGCAGCATTGCTCACTGCAGGCGTGGTGTGCAACCCCGTAGTTTTGGGTTGCGCCAGGCAGGGGCAGATTTTCGCTCTCGCTCCACCAACAGCTGTCGCACCAGCAGGGCAGCCACGTGCTGCAGGCATTGCTCTGAGCCTCAGTTTCCCCACCTGAGACAGAGCTGACGATGGTGACCTTGTTAGGGCAGCACCCTAATGAGGGTGATCTTGTGGGGCGGCTCGGTGCCAGCACAGAGGGATGCTCCCTGGGTGCGATGTGAGCGGGGTGCGCTGGAAGCGGAGCGCTGGGGCTGCCTGTCACCCCGTGTCCCATCCGTGTGCCCAACCAGGCGGGAGGAGGAAGAATGGAAGCGGAGCAATGAGAGCAGCGAAGGCACCGCCATCACTGCAATCACATCAGGCAGCAGCAATGGAGCGGCGCGAGGTGCCACCGCTGTCACCCGGTACGGGGGAGGGACACAGGGATGGGGCGGTGGGGGAGAGCCGGGGGGTGGGAGGTATGGGGATGTGGCACTCTGCAGCTGGGAGGGCGCAGCAGTGCTGTGTGCGTGATGCTGGGGGTGGTTGGTGTCACCTGCAGCTCGTGGTACCGTGCCACGTCACCTCTGCACACGGCAGGTCCCCAGCTCACTGCCACCATCCCAGAACTCGAGCATCTCCACTTGGGACCGGAGCTCCCGCATCCCTGTCCCCATTGCTGTCCCCATTTGGGGTTGGGGCTGCGTTGGGGCCAGCGTGGCCAGCTGTAACCAGACCCCCGGGCAGCCCTGACCTGCTCACGTAACGCCCTCTGCTTATGCAATGCCTCACAGCACTGCTAGAAGGGACATCCAACACCGCCGCAATTACCCAGCCCTTCATCAGCCGCAACCAGGCTAATTAGATCGAGAACCACTGGTGGGCTGGGGAAGGAGCGGCCAGCCCCCCGTGCACCCTATGGGCAGCCCCATGCAATTAACACCCACCGAACCCTCATTAGAGGCCCGTGCCCCCCCACGGCGGTGCTGTGCCCCCAAGCATCCCCACATTGGAGGCAGCACGGTGCCACCACCCCTCGTCCCCATGCCTGCAGCGCGGCGATGCCCGAAGTAGGTCAGTGGGCCGAGGTGCTGCTTTGTTTTCACCCAGCTCTGGCTCCCGGCAGCCCTCACCACTGATGTTATCTCCTCCGTTCCTCCGCTTGCAGCTGCCCCGTGTGACGTCTCCCCAGGCCTGGGCAGCGATGCTGAGATGTGAGATGAGGCCGCAGAGCCCCGACGCGGCTCGTGGCACGAGTGACGCATGGCCTCGCTGCAGAGCCCCGGTGCAACTCGTGGCACGAGTGATGCTGAGCCTTCCCGCAACGCAGCTCAGAGCCCCGGCACAGCTCACGACAGCAGGAGGGGTTTGGGGATGGTGTGAGCACGGTTGGAGGGGTTTGGGGCCCATTTTAGGGTTTGACGCCAGGAAGGGAGCAGCGTCACCCTTGGTTCAGGTCGATGGAGGTGGGCTGCAGACCCACTGCGGAGCCCTGACCCACCTGGTGACACGAGGGGTGCAACGCAGAGCCCCAGCTCAGCTCATCACACGTGGGACACCCCCGCACTGCCTCTGCCCCCCCACCTCCCCCCCCCCCCCACACACACAGCTTTGGGGTTTGGGCCCCTCCTCCCCACACCGCCCCAATCATCTGCAGTGCCGTAATGAGGAGATAAACAGGAATCATGGAATCAGAGGCCCCGATCTCCCGCCCCAATCCCCCCAGGACAGATGAAAGCAGAGCGGGGCGATGCGCGGGGGCTTTTTTCCCACTTCTTTCTGCTGAATCCCACATTTTTCCTCCCCCTCTCCTCCCCCCATCCCTCCCGCTCATGCTGTTAATGAGGTTTCGCTGCAGAAGTCTCCATCTCGGCCTTGAATTAATCTCCAGATGCCTTCAAAGGGGTTCTGTTCCCATTCTCTTCCTTCCCCCTCTCCCCATATCCATCGCTTTGAGCTGCTGAGCTGCAGCCCAACCCCTCCATCCCATCCATGCCGTGGTCCCTCCCCATGGGGACAACTGTGGGGACAAGCGTGGATGAGCCCCAGCCCCAGTGAACCCAATCCCAAATGGGGACAGCGATGGGGAAAGGGATGGCAGAACCCGGGTCCCATATAGGGACAGTGATGGGGACAGGGATGAGGGAACCGTAATCCCAAATGGGGACATTGATGGGGACGCAGGGATGGAGGATCCCCAGTCCCAAATGGGGACAATGATGGGGACAGGAATGGTGGAACTTGGACTTCAAATGGGGATGGTGACAGAGACAGGGATGGAGACCAGGATGAGGAACTCTCATCCCAAATGGGGACAGCAAAGAGGATGGCACAACCCAGGTCTCAAATGGGAACAGTGATGGGGACAGGGATGGGAGGAAACCCTGCTCCCAAATGGTCCCCAAATGGGGACAGCAAAGGGGTCCAGGATGGCACAACTCAGGTCTCAAACAGGGACAGTGACGAGGGCAGGGATGGGGACACAGGGATGGCAGAACCCCAGTCCGAAATGTGGATGGTGATGTGGACAGGGATAGTGGAACCTGGGTCCCAAGTGGGGACAGTGATGGGGAAAGGGATGGAGGAACTTGGATCCCAAATGGGGATGGTGATGGAGACAGAGAGGATGGAACCCGGGTCCAAATATGGGGAGAGTCATGGGGACAAGGAAGGGGGAATTCTGCTCCTAAATGGGGATAGCAGAGGGGACAGGGATAATGAAATCATGGTCTTGAATGGGAACAGTGATGGGGACACAGAGATGGGGGAATCCTGATCCGAAATGGAGACAACAGTGGGGACAGGGATGGCAGAGCTTGGACCTCAATTAGGGACAGAGGTGGGGATAGGGAAAGTGGGACCCGAATCCCAAATGGGAACAGCAATGGGGACACAGGGTTGGGGAACTCCGGTCCCAAATGGGGACAGTGATGGGGACAGGGATGGTGGAACTGCAGTCCTAAGTGGAGATGGCAGTGGGGATGGTGATGGGGACAGGGATGATGCAACTTGGAGCCCAAAAGGAGGCGGTGATGGGGACAGCAGTGGGGCAGCCCCGTGTGGGTGAGCTGCCATTGGGGCTGCTGCTATGTTGGTCCCATGGCAGAGCCGATCGGGGGTTTAACGCCGTTAATCCCAACAATCCCTTAATTCCTGGGACCAAAATAGGAAAGATCAGTGGGTCAGTGGGAAAAGCTGGCGGCCAAAGTTAATGCGGAGAGAGGGAGAGGGGAGGAGCAGGGCAGGAAAGTGTGGGGATCCCCTGTCCAAATAGGGGGGATGGGGGGAATGTGGGGGCTCTGCCGTGTGGCCATGGGGGGGATGTAGGGCTGCCGAGCAGCCAGCAGCTCCTATTTGGAGACATTACCCAAACCCAGCCCCGATTTGGGGAGGAAA